TTTTTTGGATTACCCCAGGTCATTTTGCTTTGAATTTTTCAATGAGGGCGAGACTGTGATGTTTCTTGTTATGTATTATGGTTCACTTTTTGTTTGCTGTTTGCAACCACTTCCCATTTTCCAGTGTAGTTCACTTCTTACAGTAACATTTAACAAAAGTGGTATAAGTGGGACTTGCTGCTGTTCAGGATATTCCCTTTCTGCTCCCACTCTCTCTCTGTTTTCCCGGTTTTTGTTGGTCAGTTAATGTTTTTGACTGTGGAGTGTGCTCAGCCTTCATTGAGATGTTTTGGGAGTTCCCCACCAAAGAATCCCCCCCCCCGTGTGTTTTCCTGCTATGTAAACTTTGGGGGATTTTTCCAAGTTTGCTGATACCTCTCAGGTATGTGTGGGCAGCACTTGTTTTTCTAGAGAAACATCATCCTTCATCTCTGAACAGCAGAAATGGAGATAATGATTTCAGTAGGATTTCCCCATCAGAAACCAACTGTTTCTAAGTGTTCTGCTGATGCTAGCCAGAATCTTTTAACATATATATTGTCTTGATAGATGGAGTCACCTTGCCCAGACTTGTTGGGCTTCTTATGATTTCAGATGAATTCATCAATGGCAGCCAGATAGCTCCATTCTCTAAAGTCACTGATTAATTTGCTTGAGAGCAAAGCATCCACTGGGACACTAAGAAGTCTATTCAGATGTCAAGGGTATTGAATTAGTTTATAACGATTTATTGACTTAGAGACATTGAACAGTCTTGGCTTGGCAAATGTAACAGCACTGTTCCCGGCCATAACCTCTCCCAGCCCTTTAAAAATGCAATGGAGGAGGCCTGGAGTTTTGAACTTTGAAAAGAAGGGGTTAAAGACTGTTGTTGACAATGCAAGCTATTAATCAGTCGGGTGATGCTTTCTGATGTTCTGAATTTCAACAGTATTGAGATGGAAGATAAGAGAAGCAAAATCATCCCAGCGGTTCAAGGATGCTTGTGGCCTGCCTTTACTGACAAGCCAGTTAAAGTGTGCCGGTTTCAGAAGAATGTCCAGTTTTTCTACTACTATTAACACACTTTGCCATTATTGGCAAATGTGGCAGATGCTATACAGTGCTGCATGGAATATATCACTTGTGTATGCGTATTTTTAAAACTTTGAGTTTATATATACGGATGTGAAATACGAATGCAAAAGTAGGCTATACCTCTAGAAACCACTAAAAAAATCAACATACAATAGGTGAGCTTTCATGGATAAAATACTGCTTCACCCATGAAAAGAACTTAAAGTTCAAAAGTTCTTGACAAGATGGAATTCTCCAAGCATGTGTCTCTTAGATGTAAGTCAGGATGTAGTATGGTTGCTGTTTTATGGTTACAGCTGAGGCAGCTGGGGAATGAGTGTAACAGCCCTGTTTTCTAAACAAAGAAGCACAGACCACATGTGCACACACATCTCCTCATTTGGCCCTTCTTTAAAACTGACATGTTTCTGCTTGGCCAGGGAGGGAAGGTAGCACAGAAAACCTCAGTCCTCCATCTGAGAATCTGGGTGGTAATTTAGTAAACTCACTAGGTTTAGCCAATTGGGGTCAGATTAAAGCCAAAATGATATTACCTAGTGGTTGCAGTCCATTATGCTGATGTTGAGAGTCCATGTGTCTTCTTCTTGGTGTGTATGTGTGCTATTTATTGGTATCCTCTGAATTCCATTGAAATAAGGTGTCCAGAGCTGCCTTTATGTAGCTGAACTGCATCACTCAACTAGACGAGGATTCCCTCAGGATCTTGGTGCATGCACTGGACCTCTCCCAGATCAACTGTTGCAGTGTGCACTGCTTTCTACGTGGGGCTTCCCTGCCAGGAGTGGGGTTTTTTTTGGGGGGGGGATGTATGAAGTGGGAGCTATGATTTCTGTTTGTGCGACTTCTTTTTTTATGTGCATGCATCCACCATCAACATAAACGGGGTTGGATGGGTGACCACAACACAAGTTTCGGAGAAAAGCCCACACCCCACGTGACTTGCTGGAACTGTCAGCCCTACTTCCCCACAACAGAAACCACATCCTTGTTTACATGGAGGTTAGAGATGAGTCACCTGCTCCCGTGATGCTGCGCGTAGCCCGCCAAAAAACTGTGGGCCCGCCTTGCTCTCTTCAGTTTTGATTGTCGCGGCTACTTTAAGGTGTGGAGTAGACTTAACAAATTAACTGTGGATGGTGGAGGGATCTATTGAGGTCCTATCTCTAGTAAATAAAGCTGTAGCACTGCTGTTGAGGCTTTTGAAGGAAAGAGGTCTAATTAATATGTCTTCATCTGTGGCCCCCTCCACTCTTTTGGGAAGTTGTAGTCGCTGGCATGACACTTAGAAATGACCTTTTGTCACTTTGCTTAAAGAGCATGGGGGAACCCTGTGCTTTTCTTATCCCATGTGCCACTTACATCATTTTGCTTCTCCTACTCTGCACATGCAAACAATGTCCTGGAGAAGCTGACCCATTTTTTCCCATCCTGCTAGTTCCAAGTTCATAGTGGCATGAGGCAAATATGGTCTTTCTCCTCATACAGGGCAATTTTTCAAAAGTAACCTGTGTATGCCATGAAAACACAAGCTTTAATAAGCTTTTCATAGTGGCACTGCAGTCCAGTCCCGTGTTTGACTGAGGTACAGCTCTTTGTTCCGTAGGCATCCTGTGAAGTCTTTATAGCTCTTGGGCAGCTTAGAAGGAAGGATTTTTAGGGTCCACATGGATTCTAAGAAAGGATTTTCCACCCCTGAAGCACTAGGAGAGGGATGCTGGGAAGAAGCTGTGGTGGAAGGTGGAAAGTACATTTGATGAAACAAGAAGGGAGAAGAAGCAGAAAAGGGAAACAGGGAGAAGGCATGAGGTAGAATGAAAAGGAGCCTAAGAAGACGAATTGCTATAAGCACTTGGGCAGAGGAGATACGCAGGAGGCTGAAGGCATTATTGTGATTGTAGAAGCTGAGGAGGTCCTAATGCTCTTGGTTATTTAGAGCTTCAGGATTTGGGGATTTTGCTCCTGTCCTCTCCTCCACTTTCCTTTTCCTTTGCTCATTTTGTTCTTTGGTGGTACTGTCTGGCCACAAAGGGAGTGGATGGGTCAAGCTCCCCTGCCTCACCACCACCTTGGTGTCCTGTTACTAAGTCTAGATATCCTCCTCCCTTTTGGTGCTACCTAGTATTTATATGGGGATGTCTTCTCTTGATTGCAAGATCCCATCTGCCTCAACACTTGGTTTCTGAGATAATTTCAGGAACTGTTGGAAAAGCCAGTGTTTTGTAGCAATGTGAGGATACAAGTGAAGGGACATTTAGCGTTACAGGGGGAGGGTAGCCTTGGTGAGTTTGGTTGCCATCACCTGTATTGTGTAATGCCTAGGTCAGAGTAGGCTGTGTGATATCATGCAGGGATTGTGAGATACTCCACCAGCACACTTCTTGGCTTTCCAGTGTTTTAGTGTTTTTCTGCCCTGAGACATCTCCTAGCTTGTCTGTCTGTGGTTTTCGGGAGCCTCTAGAAGCAGGAAGAGGGCTTCATTGGACAGGAGGGGGAAACTTCTGCTCTTTGGTCTGCTCTGACCTCTGTGGCTTCTGGAGGGGTTGGTGTTGCAGTACCCATGAGCTGTCTCACAGGGCAAGTTTATCTCCCCTCCTCTTCCCTGATGCCCTTGCCTTACTCACATTCCCTCTTATACACTGTCTTTTCAAGAAGTGGCTCCATGTGATTGTCACAGGCCTCTCTTCCTCTTCCTCTCAAGCATTTCCCTTCTCTCTTGCCTTTCAAGATACTGCCCTTGAGCCTCATTCAGTACTTGCTATCAACCATTAGCTCCATGTCAACAGAATAGGTTTGGCTAAATATACAATCTGGTGTTGAGTGCTGCTAATAAGCATGACCGGGTGGCCTGTTGCCTCCCCGTTCCTAGCATTCCTCACTGTCCCCTTTGGTTGGATTTAGGAGTGTATATTATTGGCAATAGCACCATGAGATACAGGGCAAAATCAGTTGGTGCCTTCAGCTCTTTGGAGTAATTTGAGTTTCTGTGGTCACAAAGCTCCACACACCAATCCCTCTGAATGTAAGTGGCATCCTTAATAGATGCCCACTAAAACTCCTTTGGTTAAAGCAGTGTGTACCCCCTCTAGCCAGTTTTCTTGATGATTTCATGCATCACCATCTGATGGTGCTTTCTAGACTTCATCCCAGCCTCCCCCATTCTTCGTTTTCTGTTAATGCTCAGTATTTGTCATTAATGGACAGTCCTGCCCCTTGTGTATGGCTTAGTTCTTTCCCTTTAGATTTGACTGCCCCTGCATCATAGAGAAGGTTGGACTATACTAAACTAAACCTGACTGATTTCAGCCTGTTTATACTCTTGATAAAAATTTCGCTCTTGAATCTCAGTTTAAGGTGGGTGAACATAATCAAGCTCTGAATCCCCAGGATGCTGTTTTTTAATTCCAGATTCTATTGCATTAATTGCTGCAGGATGTTCAGCTGGAGAGCATATAAGAAAGTCTAGAGATGTAGATCCTCACTGGACTCCCATCTTTCATGTGAGGATGAGGAGCTCCAAGATCATTCCAATCACTCCCATAAGAAGGCAAGGCATTTTGTGGTGCTTTCAGTAAGAAAATAAAATGGGGAAACAAGTTGGTGCAAATTAAATAAAATTGTACAACTTCAGAAATAACAGTTCAAGGCAAATGGGCAAAAGGATAGTGTTTACTGTTTTGTCACATGGATGTGTAAGGATTAGAAGCATAAAGGCACTGTTTGTGTTTTTCTAACAGTCAGCTAATTGTCATATGCTTGCTGTATTTCTGTGTTGTCAATCCTCATGAAAAAGGACCCTAATGTAGTGCAATGACCATTTGCTCAAATTATGGAGACTTTGATGAGAAAGTCTGGTGCTCTTTGTCTTGCTCCCTGCTGGAAGCACAGAATCTAGCAGAGCCTGAAAATTCCTCATGGTTCTTTGTTGAATTGTCAACAAGTTAAGTTACAAGAAACTGGTGGGCAAATCTTAATACCAAGGAATTTGGGCACTTCTGTCTGATTCAGCGTTGCTATGCTACAGCCACTCTTGAACCAGCTTGCTTTCCAGGTTAATCTGCTTTCCAGCAGTGCTTGCTTTCTTTTCTGTGGTTCCTTGATTCTCTTAAAGCTGGCATTGAGTTGCTCCCCCTCCACTTGCCCCTGGAAATGGATGCACATCTGCAAAGACTTTCTGTGATGGTGAGAAACCTGCCACATCTCTCTTTGTAACACATCTGTCAGTTTCAGTACTGGCTCTGGCTAGTTTCATTTGCTGCCTTATTGTGGCTGAGCTGACAAATAATGGAACTAGGGTTCTAGGTTTTGATTGTTAGATTTCTCAGCTAAATTTTTTGTTGATCAGCCTATGAACTTTGAGCAGAAAGTGTGTGTGTTGGGGGGAGGAATATCAGAAGATGGCTCCAAATACAAAACAATAGGAGCAAGAAGAAAATCATAGAACTCTTGATATTCCAATAAGCTTACTGTTTTTTGAAGTGATGTTGAGGGGGGAATTATGGAATAAATTATTTTTTGTGACAATAGTTCGTAGTTCAGGTAATATTGTCTTAAAAGCAGAGAGTTTGTGTGTTCAGTAAGTACGTAAAGGGCAAAACTGCAGAGTCCAAAGTCAAGCCTGACCCTTGCTTCTAAGTACCAGTTTGTCCTGTGGGAAGAATTGAACTTCCTGACTATGCCCATGTCATCAGTCCCTCAGGTCGACAGTTACTTCCTTGATTCATTTGTTTGAAGATCTGTAGTGCACTCTTCAACAATATGGCTCTTATATATGGCCCGTAAGAGCAAGACATTTTGTGCCTGCTGGCTTTTTTTGTAAAAGATATATCACTGAAAGAAAAGAGATGGTGAAGAGAAAGAGCAAACTTGGGTATCATTCTTAAAGTTAAAATGACAGCACTCATAATGACTGGCTGGAAATACCTAAGGGTGGTGGTTTCTAAACTTGAGGTCCAACATGTTTTTGGGTTACAACAAAAGAACCCTAGCCAGCAGCAGCAATGATCAAGGTTTCTGGGAGTTGTTGTTCAAGAACATCTGGGCCACATGTTTGGGATAGGCAGAGGAGTTCAGTAGATGGTCTTTCTAGCTGCTTCCCATTCCCTCTGTAACAGTCTGTTGAAATCGATCACTTATACAGAGAGAACGAGGATAATTCTGGGCAATCATATTATGTTGTGTTCTGTTGTTAATGATCTCCTGTATTCTTGTTTTAGCTGACCAAGTATATGGCGACCAAGACATGCATGAAGTGGTTAGGAAGCACTGTATGGACTACCTGGTGAGTAATGAAAGGAATCCATGTGAGAGTGGAGCTTCTACCACTTCCTCTATGTCTGCTGTCCAGGACTGTAGTTGCTGGACAGGTTATATTCTATGAATGAATGAATGAATGAACGAACGAACGAACGAACGAACGAATAAATAAATAAATAAATAAATAAATAAATAAATAAATAAATAAATAAATAAATAAATAAATAAATAAATAAATAAATAAATAAATAAATAAATAAATAAATAAATAAATAAATAAATAAATAAATAAATAAATAAATAAATAAATAAATAAATAAATAAATAAATAAATAAATAAATAAAGGTAGTTACTCTGGAGTTTGTCACTGCAGAGCCCTGACTAAATCTTCTCCAATGTCTCCTTCTATGTAATAAACACCTTCCACCAGCCTAGAAATCAATCTCTCATCTTTGCAGTCCTGAATCTTGCGTTATACTATAGCTTCCTCTCCCTTCACCACCATCACCTGATGTCCAGGTTTAAGGCTGGGAGAAAGATTTCTTAAGAGTCTTGGGGGAATCGCACTTTAAAGTGGTCCTTTAGGGAGATGCTCATGAACTGCTTTGGGAACAATTTGGAATGCTTTGGCCTTTTAGGTTCACACTGCCAGAGAGAAGGGTTGGTGGAATGTTCCTTCCTGCCTTCATCCCTCCCTCCCTGTTCCACTTGGAAAGTTTAGACAGCTAAAGCCACTTCAATGTTACCTAGTTGGACTCATGGGATTATGTTTGAGTACCCAGATGTGTGGGAGCTTCTTGATCCTTCTAACCTCAAGGTGCTCCTCCATTGCAGATGAAGAATGCTGATTACTTTTCCAATTATGTGACAGAAGATTTCACCACTTACATCAACCGGAAGCGGAAAAACAACTGTCATGGCAATCATATTGAAATGCAAGCTATGGCAGAAATGTACAATCGTCCTGTGGAGGTTTACCAGTATGGCACAGGTATGAACTGATACAGGTTTCAATTACTATCCTCTTAACCAATCTTGGCAGCCTCCTCGGGCTTGGGATGTTAGCCTTTTTTTGACTTCTACAAAAGTGATGCTTGCATCAACATTTGCTTGGGTGAAGGGCAGGCGAGTGGATAACACATCTCCTTGAGCAGCCTTCTCTCCTTTTCAGAGCCCATCAACACTTTCCACGGCATCCATCAGAATGAGGATGAACCCATCCGGGTGAGCTATCACCGCAACATACATTACAACTCTGTGGTGAACCCCAACAAGGCAACTATTGGGGTGGGGCTTGGACTCCCCTCCTTCAAACCAGGGGTGAGTCTTTCTTAGACAAATTCAGGAGGCAGTCAAGGGAACAATTTAGCATGAGTGCAAGAGCTATGGTGGGTGGAGTTTCAATGTTGCTCCCTACCCCAGCTCATCATTGCAGCTGCCTTCACAGCAAGAGTTGGGAAGTTCTTTCATTCCATGGGTCTCATACCGTTTCTGGTAAGTTCTTGTTGGGGCCAGCAAAATTTCTTGGGTAGGGAGACCTAAAAGCAAAAACAGAATCAAAGATACCAATTTTTTAAATTAAAATTCTGGGGACTAAGCCTTAGGGGAAGCATTTCAGTTGTTACAAAGGGGGAAAAACACACAGAAAACATAGGGAACTACCAAACCATGAAGAATGGGAGCTTGGCTGTCTGGGGGATTCCAGTGGGACCACAGGAGAGTCAAACTCAGTCTTAGCACTTGAGAATTTCTTGCCCTGCCTTACCTTACTGGATAAATGCTAAAAGTAGTTGAATTGAGGGGTGTTCTGCATTTTGTCAGCTTAGGACATGGAAGGAGAAGTTGAACAGATGATGAGGGTGAAGTGCAAAAGGTGGCTTTCTAAGAGGTGTACCTGATGATGCAACCTGTGCTTTTGCTAAGGGAATGAAGTAGTTAATACTGAGTAGAAGTCTTTTTAATTTTTAATACGCTATTTCTATTCCATAGTTGAGGAGATATATCCTCCAGACTGGTAGATATTTCTTGTCTTGAGGTACTGAATGATGATGGGCAGGACTCATCCGTCTGTTAAATTGGGAATCAGTTGTCCAAATATTTTGGAATTGCAGCTCCCGCAATCCATCACCATGGACAATGCTGGGAGTGTTAAGCCTAAAAAACATCTGGAGAACTGCAGCTGCCAGCCCCATGTTAGGCAGAAAAGGAGAAACTGTCCAGAAGGCTGCACAGCTATTCTGCCATTCATATTCCTGCCACCATCACACCTTAGGTGTAGCTATCCAGCTGTTCTGGCAAAAGTAGGGAAATGGAAGATGTTGAGCTTAGGAGGCCTAGGCAGCCCTTCCCCAGCCACTTACAACCCAGTCTTGAAGAGACATGAGAAACAGATACAGTAACTGCTAGGAAATTACTGCCAGCTCCCCCCCTTTGATCTGACGGATCATCCATTTGTCCAGGGCAGCTGCCGCCACATTTATGACATGTGAGTCCCCCACTGGAGAGAAATGAAATATCTGTGCTCTTGCTAGATAACCGTAAGCAGGCCCTTCTCATTCTATTCTGATTTATAGGTTATGAGTCTGTTGTTCTTGTGAGTGGTAAGACTGGTTGGTATCTCTCTTCATGCTCTTCAAATACTGTGGGTAGCGGAGCCTTGGGACTGGCCTTCTCTGACCTTGATGACCACCCCCTTCCCTCCCCCCCTCATTACTTGCAGTATGCAGAACAGTCCTTGATGAAGAACGCAATCAAGACGTCAGAGGAGTCATGGATTGAGCAGCAGATGCTGGAGGATAAAAAGCGGGCAACAGACTGGGAAGCAACCAATGAAGCCATTGAAGAGCAGGTTGCCCGGGAATCTTACTTGCAATGGCTGCGTGACCAGGAAAAGCAGGCCAGACAGGTTTGGTTCACTTTCCCACCTGTGAGGGGAAAGGTTGTCTCTTGGAATAGATTAGGGGTCAGCAGAGACTTGTGGTGTGGCGTGTCTCTCCCCCTGTTAGCAACTGGCTCGAGTGCCATGCTGGCTCAGGGGGAAGGGAGGAATGTCTGTGGCCCAGTGTTGCATCCCCACTTTCTTCTCCCCACAGCCCCGCAAAGCGAGCGCTACCTGCAGCTCTGCCACAGCGGCCGCAGCCAGTGGCTTGGAAGAATGGAGCGGCCGCTCTCCACGCCAGCGCAGCTCAGCATCTTCCCCAGAGCACCCAGACCTGCACAATGAGCTGAATGCTGCCAAACCACCTTCCCCTGGAAGCACCACAGCTCTAGCACTTACCAAACCCCCCTCACCGTGTGCTCCTGGTGAGTGCCATGCAGACCAGGGTGGAGAGCACCAAGGGCTCCTTGTCCAAGAGCTTAGAAGAATGACTTTTAGTCAGCAATTTCCAGCATCCTAGCCAGTGGCCATGGTGTTTGGGAATTATAGTCCAAAATGTTTCCAGGGTCTGCTTCTTGCTAAAGGGAAGAACAGTGGTGGTGGGAGATAATTTCTAGGATACTGTACCATAGGAGATAACTGGAAAATGAAGTTGGTGGCTACTTGGGACAAGTGGGGCCAGTGCTGTCTCTCCTTCTGCCTCATACACGTCAGTCAAAGTCTTTCAACATGTTCAGCATCGTCAAACTCTGCAGGGCATGTGGTAGTTCACATTGGCAGAATGCAGTTACTTATTTTGCCAGATTCCTGTCTGGATGGGAAGTAGTTGTACCTCCTGGGTTTGCATCCAGACATCAGACCTTTTGTGCAGCAGGGATAAAGACACTCCTACAGGTTCTGCTTTGATACAGTGCAGTCCTGTAGATAAAAGCTGTGGCTCCTTTTTTAAGTTCAGGGTTGCCACAATGTGCAGTGCAGTGCTTCTCTCTCCCTGACTGCATCTTTCCAGCCATTTTCAAGGTTTGATTAGGAGCTGGAAAGAAGAGGAACATTAGAACAGTGGTTCTTAACCTTTGTATGCAATTCTTCTCTCTCCCTAACTGCATCTTTCCTGCCATTTTCAAGGTTTGATTAGGAGCAGGGAAAGAAGAGGAACATTAGAAGACAGAACAAGAGACTCTACTGTATTAACCTTTACAAATGTATGAATTACTACCTCTGCAGTTGTGATGGCCTGAAATTTACGCTGAGTGTGTATTTAAAAATAGCAAACATAATACCATAAACTCGGACTTAGAAGACAGAACAAGAGACTCTGCTGTATTAACCTTTACAAATGTATAAACTACTACCTCTGCAGTTGTGATGGCCTGAAATTTACACTGAGTGTGTATTTAAAAATAGCAAACATAATACCATAAACTCGGACTTAAAAATAATAATAACAGTTGCATACAATCAGAAGCCACAGACTAGAGATCTGACTGTAACAATTGGACTCAAAGGTGTGACCAGATTTGTAGGGCTGGAAACTACAACCTTAAAACAAGTTTGTCCATAGGAGCTAAAAATATCCCAGAAGCAGAGGAATGCCCTAACCTGGTTTTGAAACAGAAAAAAAGTGGATTTGTCAGGTTGGGGAGGCTGTTTGGTTGCTTTTGGCCCTTCTGTGATGTGCTGCCTATTCAGGAAGACTATAAATCAAGAGCCGTGACCGTGTAACCCTGCAGATAAGGTTAGACTGTCATTCTCTTTGCCCCTCACTGTAGGTTGTACTGGCTGGGGCTGGTGGACTTGTACTCTGACTACAGTGGTGCCTTGCTTAACGAGTGCACCGTATAGCGATGTTTCCGTATAGCGATCCCTTTTTCGGGATCGCTATACGGAAACATACCCGATCGTCGCAATGGGGAAAACCCGCATTGCGAAGATCGGGTATTGCGGTGGCCATTTTGGAGCCGCCGAACAGCTGTTC